TATAAACTGAACAGGGTAATATATTGTATATTATGTAAAATTGTGGAAATGTAGAAAACAGGAAACACCCAGTAACCAAATCCTAAAGGAAGTCTAGCAGCAGGATGCACAGAACCCAGGCAAAACCTAAAGCATCTTGAGACCTGGGGTTGCTTTGTTCACTTCAAAAGAAGTACAAATTCACGGACTGCAGACTGGTCCCCCAAATGCCTAGCCACTCTCGGCTTCTGCATCCCCGCCCTCTTCTCCTCTGATTACTAAAGGTGATTCTCTGTGTGTTCTGGAACACATTCCCAAGACAGTCACTGACTAGGACGATGAGAGTCACTCTGAGCCCCATGGAGGCGGATCTTCTGCCAGGCTAGTGCGCTGGCCCACGGGCTGTTTGTCCTTGGACCAAGAGCCCACCCCAGACCCAGTCAGCCAAGACAGGTGGAAAGGGGTGGCCTTTCAGGATCTTTGCCTGCAGCAGGCATGCAACGCTTTCCTTGGGAAAATCTAAGCATAGTCAGCGATAAAGGGGATGGATAGATAGGTGATAGACAACTGAATAGATGATTGAGAGATGGGCGGTTAGATAGATGATGATAAGTTAACTGGTCATGGTTCTTAAGAGAAGAAAGGTTCCAAGCCCTCAAGTCCATTTTTAGAAGACTCAAAAAATTAGAAAAATGCAGCTTTAAATCCTGTCAAATATACCTTTAGAATCTCACTGTTGAAGCAAAAACTCTAGTTGAGGAATAACGAGGTGGTGCTGTGTGTAATGGAATTTGCCACGCAAGCTTAGTGACCTGAGTTCAATACCCAGGACCCACACAAAGGTGGAAGGAGATAGACAGACCTACACATGTGCTCTATGGCACACACGCATCATCATCATCATCATCATCATCATCATCATCATCATCATCGTTTGAAGCTGACATAGAGTACCTAAGACTCTGTCTCAAAAACAAACTAAAATAACTTTAAGAAAGGATTATCCAAATGTCATCAAAGCAAGTGAAAAAGTACAGTAAGAATCTGTTCTGGGGCTGGGCGGTGGTGGCGCACGCCTTTAATCCCAGCACTCGGGGCAGAGGCAGGCAGATCTCTGTGAGTTTGAGGCCAGACTGGTCTACAAGAGCTAGTTCCAGGACAGGCACCAAAAAGCTACAGAGAAACCCTGTCTAAAAAAAAAAAAAAAAAAAAAAAAAAAGACAATGACATCTAAAAATCTGTTCTGGGGAGCAGAATACCACATAGGACCACCAGATGGCAGCATTGTCCCATGAGTGGTTTATCAAGCTGCGAAAAATGTTGCTTTCTCTTGCTCCTTTACCCAATTGCCCACTTTGCAGAAGCTAATTCTTGAGAAATCTGAGAAACCTCTAGTTGATGGGAAAAAAAAATACAAACCTAAACAATGCATTTAACATCTATTTTTCTACTTTCCAATCCATCTGTTGTCTTTGGGTTTGTTTGCTAATATCTTGGGACCTGGTATTTAGTCTAATTATACATACATTAAGCAAGAAAACAGTAGCCTAAATTATCAAAGAATTAGAAGCCTCATAGCCATGTCCTGGTTTCAAGACTTATATTGTGATAATCTTTTTTTATATTTATATAATGCAGTTTTTGTTATAGGCATGGAATAGATATAGATAGATAGATGATAGATAGATAGATAGATAGATAGATAGATAGATAGATAGATAGATAGATAGATAGATAGGATCAATAATAATATTTAAATTTAAGCCAAAAGTCAACTGTGATGGTGAGTTCTATATAACATCCTAGTTAGGCCATCGTACTCAGATATATGCTCAAATTCTAGCCTAGATGATGTTATGAAAATTTTTGTTTTTGTTGTTTTGTTTTTATTGAGCTATATGTTTTTCTTCACTCCCCTTCTCCGCAACCCTTCTACCACCTTCCATGGACCCCACACTCCCAATTTGCTAAGGAGATCTTGTGTTTTTTCTACTTCTTATGTAGATTAGATCCATGTATGTCTCTCTTAGGGTCCTCATTGCTGTTCTCTGGGATTGTGAATTGTAGGCTGCTTTGTCTTTGCTTTATGTCTAAGAGCCACTTATGAGTGAGTACATATGATATTTGCCTTTCTGGGTCTGGGTTACCTCGCACAATATGATATTTTCTGAATCCATCCACTTGCCCGCAAATTTCAAGCTGTCATTATTCTATCTGCTGTGTAGTACTCCACTGTGTAAATGTACCACATTTCCTTATCCATTCTTTGCTCAAGGGGCATTTAGGTTATTTCCAGGTTCTGGCTATGACAAACAATGCTGCTATGAACATAGTTGAGCACATGTCCTTGTGGTATGATTGAGCATCTTTTGGGTATCAAGTGGTGGGTCTTGAGGGAGGCTGTTTCCTAATTTTCTGAGAAATCACCACACTGATATCCAAAGGGGCTGAACTGGTTTGCATTCCCATCAACAATGCAGAAGTGTTCCCTTTACCCCACATCCTTTCCAAGCATAAGTTGTCATCAGTGTTTTTGATCTTGGCCATTCTTACAGGTGTAAGATGGAATCTCAGAGTTGTTTTGATTTGCATTTCTCTGACGGCTAAGGATGTTGAACATTTCCTTAAGCGTCTTTTAGCCCTTTGAGATTTGTCTGTTGAGAGTTCTTTGTTTAGGCTTGTACCCCATTTTTTCTAAATTGGATTGCTTGTTCTTTTGATGTCAAGTTTCTTGAGTTCTTTGTATATTTTCGAAATCAATCCTCTGTTCGATATGGGATTGGTGAAGATCTTTTTCCATTCTGTAGGTTGCCCTTTTGTCTTGTTGACGGTGTCTTTTGCTTTACAGAATCTGTTCAGTTTCAGGAGGTCCCGTTTATTAACTGTTTCTCTCAGTGTCCATGCTGCTGGGTTATATTTAGCAGTCTCCTGTGCCAATGTGTTCAAGTGTACTTCCCACTTTCTCTTATGAGGTTCAGTGTGGTTGGCTTTTGTTTGAATGGAAGGTTCTATAGATATCTATTAAGTTCATTTGAGTCATTACATCTGTTAGTTTCCTTATTTCTCTGTTAATTTTCTGTCTGACAGACCTGTCTAGTGGTGAGAGTGGAGGGTTGAAGTCTCCTGCTATTAGTGTGTGGGGTTTAATGTGTGATTTAAGCTTTAGAAGTTTCTTTTACATATATGGGGACCCTTGTATTTGGGGCATAGATGTTCAGTATTGAGATTTCCTCTTGATGGATTTTTCCTGTGACTAAATATGAAATGTCCTTCTTTGTCTCTTTTGATTGATTTTTCTTTGAAGTCTATTTTTAGCTAATATTATATTATATTATTTATATATTAGGATAGTTACAACAGCTTGTTTCCTAGGTCCATTTGATTGGAAATTTTTTCCTAATCCTTTACTCTGAGGGGCAATGTCTGTCTTTGAGGTTGAGGTGTATTTCTTGTATGCAGCAGAAGGATGGATTTTGTTTTTGTTTCCAATCTGTTAGCCTATGTCTTTTTATAGGTAAATTGAGTCCATTTATATTAAGGGATATTAATGACCAGTGATTGCTAGCTCCTGTTAATTTAGTTTTCATTGTTGGTGATGTTTTTCCATGTGTTTTCCCCTTCTTTGGGATTTGTAGCTGTGAGATCATATATTGTCTGTGTTTTTGTGGGTGTAGCCAACTTCCTTGGGTTGGAGTTTTCCTTCTAGCACTTTGTGTAGTACTGGGTTTGTCACTAGGTATTGACTAAATCTGGTTTTGTCATAGAATATCTTGTTTTGTCCATCTGTGGCAACTGAAAGTTTTACTAGGTATAGCAGGGTCTCTTAATGTCTGTATAATACTTGACCAGTTCCTTCTGGCTTTCATTGTTTCCACTGAGAAGTCAGGTGTAATTCTGATAGGTCTACCTTTATATGTTACTTGGTCTTTTTTCTTTTGCAGATTTTCATATTCTTTCTTTATTCTGTATGTTTAGTGTTTTGATTATTATGTGGTGAAGGAACTTTTTAGATCCAGTCTATTTGGTGTTCTATTTCCTATATCTTCATGTTAAGAAAGTTTACTTCTATGATTTTGTTGAATATACTTTCCTGTTTACTTAGGTAATATTATATCTTTCTGCAGCCTTTGATGAAGTTGAAGAATTGATAGTTATAATTATAGTTTTCCTTAGTTATGATAAAAGATAGATAGAAATATTGTAACTTTAATTCTTGCTTGATACCTGTCTTGTTATATGTAATTTTACTATGTTAAAGCTAAAACCTTCCTTTTTTATTTAAGCAGAAAAGGGGAGTTGATGTGGGATTCCCCTCTGTATGCTGTAAATGCCACTGGTGAATAGCTGCTTTGAGCCTATAGCAGAGCAGAGCAGAACACAGGTAGGCAGGAAAAACTAAACTGAATGCTGGGAGGAAGAAGGCAGAGTAACGAGACATCATGGAGCTGCTGCCAGAGGCAGACATGCTGAAACCTTGCCAGTAGGTCACGACCCTCGTGTTAAATATAAAATAATGGAGATGGGTTAATTCCAGATGTAAGAGCTAGCTAGCAATACAATTAATTGGCCAAGCTATGATTTAATTAATACAGTTTCTGTGTGATTATTTCAGAAGTCTGGGTGGCTAGGAAACGAACAAGTGGCCTCCTTACCACACCTGATGTACTGGGAACCAAACCTGGGTCCTCTGCAAGCCAAGTTAGAATTCTGCAGCCCATGGACTGGCAATTTGGTTTTTGTTGTTGTTGTTGTTATTTTTCGAGACAGGGTTTCTCTGTAGCTTTGGAGCCTGTCCTGGAACTAGCTCTTATAGACCAGGCAGGCCTCGAACTCACAGAGATCTGCCTGCCTCTGCCTCCTGAGTGCTGGAATTTTTTAATGAGATATAAAGATCATTTAGTATACAGAGGACATGAAGAGGAACAAAATAGGAGAGGTGGTAAAACAGTCAGAAGTCTGGAGTAATGTACATAAATACAAATACATACTGATGTGTACAGAATAGTTCTTGACAAATAAAACCCCATGATTCTGATGTTTTATTAGATGCATAAAAAGTAGTTTTCATTTATAAAATCAAAATCAGACAAAGGTATTTGGGCATACAATCGGTATCAATAAAACTCACAGTGGACATATTACATTACATTCAACGTCTGCATATTTACACGTTACTCAAGACAAAGTCAACACAAAATGAACACCATACATTTCAGCTCTGTATATATCTAATATTGTTTCAAAACAAGCACAACTTTTTTTTCAACCAATTTCTATTTGTTGAAAAACACAGCAAGACTATTATAAGGTTATATGTGAAATACAGCTAAAGTTTTAGGGTTTGATCACCTATCACATTTCTGACTAACCAATAACCTTAAAATAATGGATAATTACATATGGTTTTTGTAGATTTATCTGTTCCTAGGTTATGTAGGTGCATGTTTTTCAAATGTGAATAAGTGTACCACGTGTGTGTCTGGTGCAGGCAGAGGACAGTTGAGGGCACTGGGTCCCCTGGAACTAGAGTTACAGACAGTTGTAAACTGCCATGTGTGTGTGCTAGGAATTGAACCTGGGTCCTCTGCAAGAACAGTCAGTGCTCTTAACTGCTGAGCCATTTCTCCAGCCCCTCTTTTTGATATTTTAAAAGTCTTTAAAACTTAATTCTGAAAACACATGTGCCTTGCCATTTATTCATTAAAGATAATTTATTTTGCTATAGGTCAAAAAGTTCAATTAATTAACCAGGGTTCTTATAATTTCCTCCCAGCTAAGGTTTAGTTTTAAATCTGATTATATATCAAAAGCAGTAGTGAACAACTTATTTCTTAAGTTTAATATGAATTCCACAAATTACTGGGTAGCTTTGAAACCATTCCATCCCTTATAACTGTAGTCACTGACAATCTATACTACCAGTTCCTTGCACCAGAATTGTCTTTAGCACTCTAAAACTTGTATGGGCTCCACATCAGAACTAGTGAGTACAAACTAAGGATGTTGATATTCTCTCAAGTAGTTTCCACGTGAAAAGGACACACGCATTAGTGTGGGAAACCCTGCTGGTGGCAACTAGACCTAGGAGTGTCTTATCCTTTAAGGTACACCAGAATCACTGGAGAAAACTTTAAGCAAAACAAATAATAGATAGATTCACTTCAATAGACTGAGGAAAGTGTCTAGGAACAGTATTTTAAATCACCAATACCATCAGTCAAAAATCACTGCGAAAAACAATTCACAGCCTTTGTCAGATGTCAGATATCTTATTATAACAGTATGTTCTGTAATGACACTGTCCTGCAAGTTCTAGAGACTCCTGCTCTGGCAGTGACAGCAAGTGACTAGGGTAAGAGCCCTTCAAATAGACACATTTGTACTGTTAAACAGAAGGTCAGAGCAGTGATTTGTGGGACCACCATTCATTCATTAAAGAAAGAAAAGGTTCTTTCAAAGTAGTTAAGCCTTTAAACTGACCAGGTTTTTTTTTTTATCATCTTTCATCTTTAGTGATCTCTTCATCACTAAAGATCTGGTCTCTAGAGCCAGCATGAGATCAGAGGTAGTGACTCCAGCACACTAAAGGTGGAACGTGGAGTAGAAAAGATGCATTCTACTACCTACTTCGTAGTTCTGCACTGTTCGTGCACAGTAGGGATGGAGCCCAGCTGTGTATGAAACACTAAATGGGGAAGTATACTAATACACGCTTGACTTCTAACAATGAAACTTCATTTGCCATCCCCACATAGCACATCAAGGATATAACTGAAGGTATCTAGCAGGGAGTGGGGGGTCCCAAGCTTGAGGGGCTGAGTCATGCAAGAAAACCTTAGATTTGCTTCATCAGGCAACAATATTAAAATATGGGATGCTTCATGTATGGCATTGGTGGATAAATTCAACCGCCACACGTCACCACATGGAATCAGTTCAATATGTTGGAGCAGCAATGATAACTTCTTAGTGACAGCAACCTACAGCGGTGACAAAATGGTGGTGTCAAGTTGCAAATGTAAATCTGTCCCACTTTTAGAGCTTGCTGAAGGCCAAAAGCAGACATGTATTGATTCCACATCAATGTATTTGGCAAGTGGAGGCCGAAATAACACTGTTACTATTGGGGATTTAAAATCAAAATGAGTTCATCGGTCTCTCAAGGATCATAAAGGTGAAGTCACTTGTGTGGCATACAATTGGAATGATTGCTACATTACCTCTGGGTCTCTCTCAGTAGTGAGACTGTTTTGCACAGCATAATCATGAATACATCCAGTACACCATTTGGCCACGGAAGTAATCAGCCCATCCGGCATGTGAAGTACTCCGTTTAAGAAGTCTCTCCTTGGCAGTGTTTCAGATAACGGAACAGTAACCCTCTAGGATGTCAACAGTCAGAGCTCATATCGTAGCTTTGACAGGACACAAGGCTCCAGCTTCAGGCATGTTTCTCTCCTGTCAATGAACTGCTGTTTGTAACCATGGGCCTGGATAAAAGAATCATTCTCCATGACACTTCAAGTAAGAAGCTGGTGAGAACTTTTGTGGTCGACACTCCTCTGACCTCAGTAGATTTTATGCATGATGGAGCCACTTGGGCTATTGGATCTTCCCGTGGGAAAATATATCAGTATGACGTAAGCTGAATCACCTGTGAAAACCATCAGAGCCCACAAGACATCTGTACACTGTAGATCATTTCAGTATTCCACGTCTCTGACAAAGGCAAGGTTTAATAATGGCTGCTCAAATAAGCGCACATCAGCGAACAAACGGAGTGTTGCTGTAAGCAACAGCAGTAGGGCCGTCAGAGAAGCAACCGCCCCTTCCATCGCCACAGTTCTCCCACAGCCTGTGACGACAGCCATGGCCAAAGGAGTCATTGCTGCTCAGGATAAAGCAGGCTTGTCTTCTCGAAGCATAAATAGAGATATTTTAAGGAAACAGACGGTGGAATAAGTCAAGATTTCTCCAGCTTTGATGATACGAGGGAAAATAGGTGACATGTTCTCACCAGTCAGAGACGATGCTGTAGCCAACAGAGGTAATGAATCTGTAGGCAAAGGAGATGGCCTTGACTTTCTACTTCAGCTGAACTCAGCGTTCCCACTGAGGAAAAAAATCCAGTCACTTCCAGCACTCTGGTATTGCACTCCAGTGCTCTTCTGTCCTCGTGGGATCTCCAGGGAAAGAAGAAAGTGAGAGCCATGATCTGGAAGCTGAGGCAGAGAGAACATACCCGGGGAAGAAGCAGGAGCCAAAGGACTCCTTGAAGCAGTTTGCAAAGTTGATCTCCTCTGGTACTGAACCAGGAATTCGAAATACCTCTCCATCATCAACAAGAAATCTTGAAAAATATAAAAAGCCAAAAAAGGAAACTGAAGCCCTCAGTAGATGGATCCTCAATTCCAGTTCCAAAGGCAGCGTCCTCTGTCGCGGCTGGAGTAGCCAGCTGACTCTCAGAAGAAATAGTGGATATACTTGGGACCAGTCAGCCTGATGTATCACCAACCTCTGCTCAGATCCGCTTCGTTCAGAACATGATACAGGAAACCTTGGATGACTTCAGGGGCACTTGCTTTAGGACATTGCAAATTTGTAAGTGGAGATGATTAGACAGTTTCATATCCAGCTGAATGAAATGCACTCTTTGCTGGAAAGATACTCGAGTGAATGAAGGCTTGCTGGATGAAACTGAACGGCTACGAGAAGACAACAAAAGACCACGAGCCCACTTCTGAAGACTCAGAATACTTTATCTTTTTATATGATTTGGGAAGTTTCTGGTAACTAAGAACGAAACAGAGTCAGTATTGTTTTCCTGACCTTGACAATGGATTTTCCAGCAGGCACTATTCCATCTCTGTCAGACATATTTATATTTTTATAAATATAAATTTAAACTGCACAGAATACCTTCTTTTGAATAGGAAAGTCAACAGGATCTTTATGTTCTGAATGCCTTAGCTATATACTAAGTGCCCTTTTCCTAAGAGAAGAAAATGTGCATATAAGGCTGGGTTTATATTTTATAAATGACTCTTTAAAACAGATATATTTTTGGTGGACAAATTGTATTCCAAATTTTTTTAGGTAGCCAGTGTTCAAAACATTGGTGTACCTTCTATTTTATGAATAATTTTAGAGTGGCAATTGGATTTTTTTCATGCTGCTGATTAGTCATTATCTTGTTAACTGATGACGTCAGGTCTGACTTATTTATTGCTCATATGTATGATGCTTATATTTTGAAGCTCTGAGTTGTACAGATACACAGTACCTTCGACATTTCTGCTTCTGAGGGCTTCCTACTCTGGTTTCCTCCTTTACACATGAAAAACTAAGGTTTTGGAAAATTCAAGGACTATACATCTGCTGATTGTCTAATGAATTGATGGTATGTAAAATCATACCATAAGGCTTTAGTCACCATGGCTCAACTTAAAATCAATGAAAATTTATTGTAAGGTAATAAATATCACAATATTTTTGCCATTTTTCCTCACAAGTAAAAAGCACAGATTATTTTTCTTTGTTTTATACCATTAACTTTCTCTAATTATAGCATGCTACAGATAGTATTTTTCTATTATTAGCCTAACCATAGCATTATTTATATAGATTCATCATGACGAGAATTTACACAGCAGCAGCAGCTCGGCATGCTCATCCACCTGTTGTGATCCATGGTTTGATAGGGCTGGACTAGCACAGCTTCTCATCCATTAACATTCTTGTTGCCTCTTGCCCAAAGATTTCAACTGTGTACTTTGTATATACGTCTGTTGCCCAGTTTTGCTTTCTGGGATCAAAATATTTACTAAAATGTAGGTTAGTTTGCTAACTTTTTGGGTTTCTAAAGTGATGGAAGGATTAAGGATATACTTAATAAATATAAACCTATGATTAATTATTTCCAAAAGCAAAACAGGAATATGGCTTTTCCCAGGTGACTCAGAGATGTTGTGGTCTTTCCCTAGCTGATACGGTGGTGGCATTATGACTTGTAACAAGTTTCCTTACCTGTCACTCAAACAATGTTAGAATGCAGAAGTACTCTGTCTATATGCTATATTTTTATCTATTAATACTTTCCTACTTCCTTTTTCAATAGATGTAGATATTGTATATAACTGAAGGTCTCACGCTGCCTCTTCTTTATACTGTTTACTGATGTCCACCAACCCTGTGATTACACATGATGTGAACAACAGCGGGTTTTACTCTACTTTAAAAAGCCCTGAGCCACATGTGGTGGCACACACTTTAATCTCAGCACTTGGGATAAGAGGCAGGTGGATCTCTGTGAGCCTGCTCTACAGAGTGAGCTCCATGACATCAGGGCTTTGTAGAAACCCTGACTGAGTAAAAGAAAGAAAAGAAAAGAAAAGAAAAGAAAAGAAAAGAGAGAGAGAGAGAGAGAGAGAGAGAGAGAGAGAGAGAGAGAGAGAGAGAAAGAAAGAAAGAAAGAAAGAAAGAAAGAAAGAAAGAAAGAAAGAAAGAAAGAAAGAGCACAACATGCTCTTGTACTGGATGACTTAGCGCACACATGCTGCACAGCAGAGCATCTGGCGGGGCCACCATCACTGCACAGCTTTAGGAACGGAAGGAATCCACATAAGCACCAGCCCTGAGAAACAGAATGGCTGAAGAATCTGTCTGGCATCCCCTCCCCTGACCCATATCTATCGTGCTGGTGTTTCCGGGTACACACATGTCCTGTGTTCTTCACAAAGGCTTGGCGGCTTTCTTCCCGGGAGATCTGTGGCCAGACAACTGGAATTCCTCTTTCAGCAATGGAAAGCAATTGCCAGAACTCGGTGCTGCAGTGCAGGAAAGGCCTGTCATCATAGGAGGAGAAACTGAAACTATAAAATCAATTCTCAAGAAGCCCAAGCACTTGTACTCATTTTGAACTAGTGTCCAGACTCCAGTAAAAACCAAAGTGTTTTCCAGTTTACAAATGACTTAAAATCAAAATAATAAATTCTAAAATTAAGCAAAAGTTGAAAATGTAAATATCAAAAACAAGGCTTCTTAAGTGAAGAGACATGAAATCACAGAAATACAGCAACCCTGGGAAAGACTTCTAACATGCCCATGGCATAAGGTACCATCTGCACCCTCTCTGTGTACAGCACTGGAGATCCAGGGAGCGCGACACGGCAGCAAACACCCGCAGCTAGGCTGCTCATGTCCTTTTGGCTGGCTTGGCTGTCAGCTGCTTTTCCCTTTCAAACTCCTTTTCCCTCTGCTGTTCCTTTTCCAGCTCTTCTCTCTGCCTCTTCTGCTGGAGCTTAAGTGCTCTTTTCTGTAGAGAGATTGGGGGGTAAAGTAGGGGGCAGTCAAGGGTTACAGTTACGGCAGACCTTAAAAATAATAATGTTTGACTCAAGTTAGTCAATACATATCAACAAAGCCCATGCTTAACTTTTAAATTTATCTGGAGTAATTCAAGGCCCCCTTAATTTAGAACGACAATGAAAACTTTACTCCCAGCTCACATTAAATGTGAACTACAACTTCACATGCAGAGATGAGCCTGTCAGCCCAGCTACTAGCGGAGGGACCAAAAGACCTCATTCTTAAAGGGAAATAACGCAGCATGAGTTGATATCTTACTGGACCCAGAAGTATAAGATGCCAAAGCATGAACACTGAAGAAAAATAAAATTCCACGTAAAAAGGGCATCCAAGAATTCCCACTCACTTTTAACTTGGATGTTTTCTCATGAAGCAACAGCATCTCCTTCCTTATGTTCACCAGCTTGGCATGATAGTGCTTCGCTTCTGTGAACTGAACAGAGTAGGACAAGATAGCAGGAAATGCCAAGACTGACAACTAGGTCCACACTACAGCTCATCCTTCCTGAACTGGTAAACTTTAGAACCTCAATTGTGTACATACTTTAAGTTCGATGATACAGATTTCATTGAACCATTAGCAGGATTTTTGAAAACATCCGATTCAATTCAGTTGACAAAAAAAAAAAGTTATTAAAGATGGATGTAATGGTGCACTCCTTAATCCTGGCACTCAGGAGGCAAAGGCCGCTAGATCTATGTGAATCTGAAGCCAGACTGGTCTGGATAGTAAGCTCCAGATCAGCCAGGACTACTCTCTCTCTCTCCTTCTCTCTCTCTCTCTCTCTTTCTCTCTCTCTCTCTCTCTCTCTCTCTCTCTCTCTCTCTCTCTCTCTCACACACACACACACACGTTATTAAACATAAAACATATTTATATTAAGAAAATTATAAACAACATTTTGCTTCAAAAACATACCACATAACCCAGAAATTAAAACAGCCACTACTGCCTTTTTGAAAGAACAAGCCAGCAATGCATGTTCCTGTCAGGAAAATGGCAGCTACGGCACAGATTCTGAGAGAATGGCCAACAAATCCAGCCATGTTTCTTGTGCTTTTGCAGTCAGAATGTCAACACAGCCACAAGAGGACACACACTGTTCTCCCGGAGGTAGAGTACACTCTACATCACAGTCTGCCGTCAAAACGATCCTGCTGGGAGAAGCTGAGGATGGAGAAGTGATGGAGGCCCAGAGAGTGGCAGAGAACGGAAAAGGAACCTTACTCTCAGAAACAGAGACAGGGATGAGAAACAGGCCTGGAGCGAGAGGCTGCCTCTCAGGCAGCAGTTAGTAAAGTCAGCTCACAGACCATCTATGTGCAGCTTGCAGGGTGTTCCCGTTTCCAATTCCTATGTGAGAATTAAAACCACTCTTGGGCAAAGAGAAGAAATAAGTGAAAAACTCGGTTCTGTCCATTCCAGAATTCTGTTCATTTGTTCAGCTTTCACTCAGTCAACCAATACCCATTTGATCATGACGCCAATGCCAAGGAAAAGAAGAGTGAGTGCGGCCATGTTCACTTCCTCCACAAGAAGTCGGTCAGCTGCTGAAAAGACTGCACTCTCTGCACCAAGGCCATCAGTGCTAGCGAACACTGGTGGCTACACAGGGAAATGATCTGATCCTCCTTTGTCACACAGAATCTGCTTTGGATGTGTAGGAACCCTTCAAAGCCATGCCGGCAAGTGGTTCCTAATGTCCAGGAAGGTCAGGAGCAACATGAACTTGCCTAGGCTAAGTCCCTTTGTTCTCCCAGGAGCATCTAGTGAAATCGAAACTACCCAATTCTTCATCTTTAACATGTCCATCTCACCATGGCACAAGAAATACTAATAATTAAATATTAATTAAGAAACCACATAACTGACCCTTCAAAAAGGACTGCACGTTCCTTAATGGTAAACACCGTGTCTCAAGTGTCCCTCACTCTGTTTTCTTGTCATCTCGTGAGATCGTTCGACAGAGAAATAAGCTCAATTCCTAATACATGTTCAGCATGTGAACGCCAGAAACCATGGGAATCTAATAAAGCAACCAAGAGTCCCTGTGAAAAAGAAATTCTACACATGAAAGTTGGAGATAAGATCACCAAAATGCAGAGGTATAAAGCCTTTCTAAAATAAAATCTCGTTCAGTTACAAGCAAGAACTTACCAAAGCATTGATGTCCAACATAGAATGGCATTCTTTAAATTTTGAAATCTCTTGTTCCAGTGTATCTAGCAACACAACTTGGTTCTGTCTGAAACAAAATCACACAGGCAAAGCAAACTTTACATTCTAAGTATTGGTTCATTACAAGGAATCACATTTATCCCAGCTAACACGCAAAGCTGGAAACCCAGCTGGCAATACAGTGCCTCTCTAAGACACTCAGGAAAATCTCTCAACACTGTATATCAAAGATGTATCCTGACAGCTAAGTGCATGCTTCACTTCTGTCACAACGTCAGACTTCACTGAAATAACCACATTATTCTAAGTATTTTACTACTGTAACAACATTCTGCATTCTCCTCCCAAAACATTCTCTTTTACAGCATTCTGCTCACAAAACTCAATTTTCTCTGAAACTTGGAGCAGAGCTTCCTGATGTGGCACTGGAGATGTAGTGCCGAAGGACAGAGCGTCCTCCAGGGCAGCCGAGCAGCTGGGGGATGAGCGGGCACTGGGAAGCACTGAGGCCTTTCCCTCACAGCTGTGTGGCCTCGGAGAGTCAAGTTTCTGCCCTTGACCTAACTCTCATTCACACGAGAAGGTCAGACCAGACAACTGCTTTGTTAACATCTGGATTCAAATGAGGGAGGGAAGCTAATTTCCTTCCTACTCCTCTCCTGATCAAATATGATTCCAGGGTTCAGTGACACAGAAGGGTCACCTAAATGAACATTCTAAGAGAAAATAGAGTGTGATTTGTTATAAAAATAAAGAGCAGTGATGAAAGGTGACTTAGCAACAAGGCTGGAGGGCATATGGTCACCATCAGGCCTGGGTCTGGGTACCAACAGGTCCCTTCACATCAGACTAGGGAAGACAGAAGAGGAAGCACAGAGTGGAGAACAGAATACCCAGCAGCTTGCCAAAGACAGGACAGCAAAAGACAAGAGGTCACAACTGGAAAATGGGGGGGGGGGCAAGCAATAAAAATAAAAGCTTTAGTATCAATAAAAGCCATCAGCCAGATCAAACAAGAGAAAAGGACACAAATTACAAGTATCATCCATGAAAGAGATGATCATCACTGCTGTTATGCTTTTAAAAGGACAATAAACTCCAATGAGCCTGAGCACACATTAGATTTAGACGGAGGAGACCAATTCATTCAAAGACACAGATTATTCAAACACACACTCATTCTCCAAGTTTCCCACAATGAAACTAGACTCTTTAGGAGTATTCGCTTCACCTTTTACACTTAGATTATGAGTTACTCCATGAATCCCATCTTCAAAACACAGAAATGAGCCATGATCAATGTCCCAAAAGATAAGACTGTCGTACCACTGTCACATGCCACTACCAGGTGACAGAAGGAACAGGCGCACAGCAGGCTTTCCATTGGCTTACGTGAGTTCCTGGAGGGCTTGCTTTGACCTCTGCAGATCTGGTAGGTAGTGGGACAGCAGGCCTCCCACCAGCTGCTCCACAGCTTTGTCCTCTACAGCGAAGTCCTCTATCAGTCCTTCATCTGGAGATGCATCACTCAAACCTGTGCTCAAGAGAAAACCAAATTTAGGGAGCTCTAATGCTGCTGCACTGCAGGGAGGTGGAGGGGGAGCTCAGCCAGGGAGAAGGGGGAGCTCACACAGGAGTGAAGGAAGCACACCTTGCCCAATACAGCAGTGGCTTCTTTTACATGTGTGCCTGCTGAGCTTTCACTAAACACGGCAAAAAAAGGTTTCTGTGTTGTTTTGAGCTTTTCTTGTTTTGAAACAAGGTTTCCACACTGGCCTAGAACTCTCAATCCCCCTGCCTCAGCCCTCTGAGCTGTGTATCAACAAACCTGGGGAAAAAAGTAATTTTAAACCGCAAGTACAGAAAAAAGTCTAGAGTAAACAAACATTAGCATATTCAAATTTTATGTTATGTGGAATTTAGACTGTTTGCCAAGGAGTCAGATTGAAGGATAAGTTAACCGTCACTGAATTAATGCATCAATGCTTTGAAAAGCGTGCAGAAATTATGTAAACAGAGGCTGAGGAGGCAGCTCAGTGGGTCAAAGAGCTTCCTAGGTGAGCCCAACCACGTGACATCCACATCCAACCCTGAAACCCACCACAGGAGGAGAGAAGCCTCCTGACAACTTTCTCTAACTTTCACAGGAACACACTGAATACCCCCCAACACACAGGAAGGAAGGAAGGAAGGAAGGAAGGAAGGAAGGAAGGAAGGAAGGAAGGAAGGAAGGAAGGAAGGAAAAAACTTACAGGGAGGAGTGGAGAGATGGCTCAGTCATTAAAGGTTAGACTCACAACCAAGTAGAGAATAAAAACTGTTGCAGAAATTATATAAACAAAAAGGCATATCTAAAAAAAGTTTTGAACACAAAAGAAAGAAAACTGCAGGGCATTTTTGCTCAGTATAGTCACATATTAAAGGGGGTTATCTGCTAATACAAGTTCAGTGATGTGTGATGACTCAATTCAGAGAAAAAAAAAGATTCAGCACCTTAATTTGCTATAGGAAATAGTGTATTCTAATCATGTTATGGGCTAATCTAGACCCGATGCCAGGAATGATGTCTCATCCTTTTCCAGGCATTCAAATGTCTAAGATAAATACCCATCAATTACTGTTTCCAGGAAAAAAGTACAGAGCCGTTTCAAAGTGGGGGTCAACGAATGTTTGTAAGGTTTTTACAATCATGGATATTGAATGAGAAAAAGGTAAAATGTTCACTGTGCTAAAATTGTATCCCAAAAGCACTTTCATAATTAACATTAAGCTCGGGCACATCTGTCATCAATTATAGTCTAGTAACAACCGTTACCATCAAATTAAGATGGGACTGGAGAGGTGACTCGGTGGTTAGGAGCACTGGATGCTCTTACAGAGAATCCAGATTTTGTTTCCAACAACCACATGGCAGCTCACATCCATCTATAATTCCAGTTCCAAAGGATCTAACATCCTCTCTGGATTCCAAGGTCACCAGGCTAACACATAGTACATATGCATACATGTAGGAAAAACACACACAGAAAATGAAAATAAAAAATTTCTTTTAAAAATCAGATTAGACAACTTTCTAGAGTGTTTCACACACATTACTACAGTTCTCAGCGTGCTCATCACGGATTTAAATTCAGAAAAGGCTGAGGAAAACAAGCTCTCATATTCAATCTTTTAGAAAATCAAGATAAAATTGTACAATTTTAATGTTAACCCTAAAAACACAAACTAGAATTTTCAAAACTGCAAGGCAAAATTCAAATGGGAAACAGTAAACAGAAACTGAAACACTCCAAACCCAAAATGAAATAGCAAAGAGGAAGACTTACCCAATAAGGATATTTTAAGATGTAACACAAATTCACCTACACACACACACACACACACACTTTAACTCTAACTCATGGGCCTCCCTTTCCCATTCTAACTATTATTAATCATAGGTTTATATGATTTATGGGTAGGTTTCAGTTAATGTTTTTATACCTATTTAGTTGCTAGGTTCCAAGTACTTCATTGTAGAAGACTAGAAAAAAAAAGGAGGGGTCCTTACCAGATTCACACAATGAACATTGCCGAACATGTACCATGTATTAATTTTTTAGTCATAACAATAAATAAGGTAAATCCTCCTCCCTGGTTGGCACTATACAGGGGAGAATTCAAAGGCATTACCAGAATTGTTATGGAGTCTGAGATGATTTCTAAAGGTAGTCTGGGTGTTGAAGACTTCCTTTTGTTCTCTTTATTAATCACTGCAAAAACTTAGAAGGGCACAACGGAAAAAGAACAGTCCTTCTCATGGCCTAACTCCAATGAAGTCACTCTGCAGGATTATGACACAGACATCTAGAAACTGTCTTTACCCAATCATGCACAGGGTCTTTTCATCATAAATGAAACATACTATTCTGAAGGCCTTCTATTTTTGTTTTGTTTTAAGACAAAGTCTTGCCACACAGCCTAGACTGGCCTTGATCCTCCTACCTCAGCTTCCCAAGAGAAGGCATGTGCCGCCACACATGGCAACTTTTAAATACCTCCTAGAGATATTTCTACAGCAATGTATACAGTATCTACTCGGTTCTTCTTAGCAGAACAAAATTCTATAGTAGTCGACCCAGTCTCCTGTGTATAGATTACATTATTTTCCCTTTTTGCTATTTCAAACAGTGAAAATGTTTGTGATCTTCTAGCTGCTAGGAAGCTACAGTGATATTCCTAGCTTATCTTTGCACGTTCCTGTTTCCATGGAATAAATTCTTAGAAAACAGCTGGGCAAAATATCTGTGCAATCTTTGACATTGCAAAAACCTCCTAAAAGATGGCACCAACTTTCACCAACCACCACTTCCAAATGAATACAAATCTGAGTGGAAGGGATGCAACATTGTTAGGAGAAAAAAAATGAGAAAAAATGGGAATAGAATGTGTATGAATCATGGGAACACACTGAATAGGAACAGTAAACTGTTAACATATACCATACAGCCAGCCTGTAAGGATCCCCGCGTGTCAATTTTATGGATCTAAACTTAGTAAGTGGTAAGAAGCCACTTAAGGATTTTAAGCAAGGGAATGACATGACTGGAGCTTTCTTGGAGCAGTACTGTAACAACAGAACAGACAACCCTGGAAGAATAAAAGACTACAGGTGAACTGGCTTTAGAACTAGTGGCTCCAGGGTGCAAACACAAAACCCTCTGCACTAAGGAGAAGGAAGTCAAAAGAAGAGCTGAACGCAGTTTCAAAGTTTCATGTGAGTAACCTCACGCCATTAACAGAAGATCGGGCAGCTCTGCGAAAGAGCGCTTGTTTAGCAAGAAGTCCCAGATCAATCTGCAGCACCTATCCGTCTCTCGCCCGCTCTCTAAAATCGGCTTTAATTTATATTCATGCTGTTTGTGAGTTCTGTGCAAAGCCATGAATGGCCCAAGCTGCAAGTAGATACTACAGTATATTTGCAGACATAATTGAACAAGCCAGGAAAACACGTCATTAAGAAAAGCAGGGTCAGGAAATGCCGAGAGTGATTTGTAGCTTCCTATTTCTGGAACCAAGCCTTCCTCTGCTAGGGTCCCTCATATGAACCAAAGCGCACAGAAAATGCTTTGAATGGTGATAGTCTCAATCTCACAAAGACAATGGTATACAGGAATAGTGGCCATCTGGCTGTACAGTAAATTAATGGATGCGTTCGAGCACTGATGATTCAATCTCTCCTGGAACTGTTGGGACGGCTGCTGGAGTAAGTAATGATGGGTGACGGGTAAAATAATGCCACACAAGTAAGTCAGACTATTTCATGAGTAGCCAATATTGGACAGTTCTCTGCAAATCGACCTTCTTTCCGACAAACCCATCCCCAACCACTGACGCTATGACATAGTCAAAAAACAATACAAACTTAAAAATCTCAAAACCGACCGCACCCAACAGTGGGGACCAAGGTTTCCGCTCGTGGGTGTGCAAAGCAAGAGGGCAGCCTGCGCTGGAGTCCCCCCGCCCCCACTCGGTCCCGGCCCAGGTGGGCAGTCGCCCCGCAGAACAGCCGTACCCAGCGTGGGCTCGCCGGCCTCCAGGCTGCCGGGGGTCCCGGTCAGGACCCCGTCCGGGGGCGGTGACACAGGAACACTCATGTCCCCGCTCTGAGCGCCGCTTAAGGCGAGCTGCGTGCAGGTAAGAAGTCAGACGCCAGAAATAGGAACCTAGCCGATTCCAGCTCCTAGCCGGTCAAAAGCCGTGGTGCACACGGAAGTGACGAATGCGGAAGGCGTCGCTCGTTCCAGCCAGTCAGGAAAGCCCGCCGCCCCCTCGCGTCAGCGCGGTGGACACAGAGGTGAGCTTGCGGGTTCGTTTTCCCAGTGGGCGGACGGTGGTAACCGGAAAAACGGACCCGATGTGTAGCCCCAGCCCGGTGGACCTTTTTAGTGTTGTGTCCGATTTAAGCAGAAGTCTTAAGAACGTGAACCACTGAATTATTCAGGCCTGTGAGTTTGAGCGTTGCTTAGAATCTCGTCCAGTTGCTTGCAGATGACGTAGGCGTTGTTAGAGCATCAGTTGAACAAATTAATCCAAATGACCAAAAGCACCAGCTGAGATCCTGCGGGACGACATCGTGAGTTCTGACGGAAAGCACAGAGATGCGGACTGACTCAGCCCCACAGCAAATGTAACGATCCTCTATCGTTTTTTAGACTCCCACCTCTAGTAGCCTCTAATATTACTCTGCAACTTACCTGTTCAGTTTTCTCTGCTGGAGCCAAAGCCATCTTTAAGAAAATAAAATAATAATAATAACGTCACGCCTCGGGAATGCACCGGCTCCCTATTGCCCTCGTCAGTATGTTCACAGTTCCTTTTTAGCCGTTTTTCAGTTCAAGAGTAGCACCTCCTTACTCTCTGAAGGGAGGATGTTCGCAGCCTAATCCCAGAGACCTCTAAATACATTAGGGTGCGTGGCGACAAATAAAGGTTACTAGTTAACTTGACCTTAAAATAGGAAGGTTACTCCATGGGCCCAGTCTTTAAAACTGAAAGAGGGAAAGTGTCGAGAGAGAGACAGAGACAGACAGAGACAGAGATTTGACTATCAAGGCTGATTAAACAGATGTAACACTGATGGATTTGAAGACAAGGAAGGGGGTCTTCAATCTGAATGATGGGTGACTTCTTGAAAAAGGTAAGGAAACCGACTCCTCTCTGAAGTAATGGAACTCAATTCTATGAATTACCTAGATTTTTATTTCCTGTGAGGCTGCTAAACTATAGATTTTTAAAGTAATTGTAAGTCCCCTGCCACCAACTTCCCTGTTTCTAGCCCTTCCAGGCCCCACACTTTAGGGGGGAAAAAGCCCAAGATCGGGCCACAAAAATCCCTCTAATCCCAGACCAACCCCTGGAAACCTCCACCACAACCCCCAAGAAATCCTCTATAAAGCCTGCCTTCTGTTCAGCTCTTTGCTGCTTCTCACCCAATCAGAAGCAACCACCCTCTTGGGTCCCTCCCAATAAATACTTTGTGTGAGGTTTGTTGTGTGGTGTGGCTTTGTGGTATTCTTATGTTCCTGACTGCCAGGATACCTCCTCTTAGGGCTGTAACATATCCATTAGGGAAACCTCTCCCCTCAGAACTGTCACATTTCCAGTGATGCTAATGTTGTTGTACCAATAGAAAAGCAGTGTGCCACCCTTCAAACATCTTACGCAATCCTTCATCTGTGCAGTGTGCTTGCTCCTGCTCCAGGCTAGAATACTGTTTTCAAAGGCCTATCCCTCTTTTCAAGGTGATCTAAAATAATATTGGGGTTTTTTATTGTTTGTTTTATGAGGTAATGTATTATGTAGCCTAGGCTGGCCTCAGACTCAATCTGTAATTAAAGTTGGCCTTGAGTTCCTGATCCTCCTGCCTCTCCCCACCAGGGAAGTGTTCTGATTGCACACTCAAGACGTACCTTTACTTTAAAAGCTGTTCATTATCTCACTTCCTCCTTTCATTCAGAAGTTACGGTAATAACGTTTTGTAACTACAAGCATCTTCCTGCTATTTATTTAGCACTTGATTCCTCCTTAGGAATCTTCTTTTTCTTCTCTTGCATTATGTTTTCTTCTCTTGGATTATGAATGCCAAATAAAAACTCTTATTCTCAGAGAACCAAAATAATCCTAAGTAAATTGGCTAATTGGTGAACTATTGATGCCCTAGCCTGTAATTCCAAATACATATGGTAATGATTTCAGCCACATAAGGCTGATACTTCCGGGTTCTCGAGCCATGCACGTACAAACAGGCCCTTGGGCGGAAGTGCCTGAATGTTAAAAGGCCCTGCGTGACCCACGCGCACGCATGGGTGATTATGTCCACTATGACTCAGCTAAGCCCTTGCTCGCACGTGTGAGCCCGTCATCTGCATATGACGTAGTCATGCCAACCCCCTGTGCGCATTTTAAAAAGCTGGGTGTCCCATCTTTCTCTCTGCACACCGATCCTGAGGCCTGCATGTGCCCCTTCTAATAAACTCCTAAGCGGGTCTGTTGCGTGTTCTGTGTTTCCTTCTTGCTCGTGCCAGGTAATTTCACATGTAATTTCCAAATCGGAAGTATGTGACATGGTACCTGATGTCACATGACCTGGCAACCTTACTTGATTGTGAGTTTTATGTACCAACAGTGTAGTAGGGCCCTTTGGGATAGAGCCATATCCTGGGAGTTGTCATTAGCTGCTCCATCTCTTGGCACAGTATTAGGTATATCTCATGAATGTTTAAATATTGGTTATTTAAACTGAATGAGTGAAAGAAGCAGTTACATCCTGCCTATCTTTATGATTTGTTTTGCTCTAAGCAGAATTCTTGTTTGAAAATTTTTTAATTTATTTATTTATTTATTAAAGATTTCTGTCTCTTCCCCGCCACCGCCTCCCATTTCCCTCCCCCTCCCCCATCCAAGTCCCCCTCCCTCGTCACCCCAAAGAGCAATCAGGGTTCCCTGTCCTGTGGGAAGTCCAAGGACCACCCACCTCCATCCAGGTCTAGTAAGGTGAGCATCCAAACTGCCTAGGCTCCCACAAATCCAATACATGCAGTAGGATCAAAAACCCATTGCCATTGTTCTTGAGTTCTCAGGAGTCCTCATTTGTCCGCTATGTTCAGTGAGTCCGGTTTTATCCCAGGCTTTTTCAGACCCAGGCCAGCTGGCCTTGGTGAGTTCCCCATAGAACATCCCCATTGTCTCAGTGTGTGGGTGCACCCCTTGCGGTCCTGAGTTCCTTGTTCGTGCGCTCTCTCTCCTTCTGCTCCTGATTTGGACCTTGAGATTTCTGTCCGGTGCTCCAATGTGGGTCTCTGTCTCCTTTCATCGCCTGATGAAGGTAAAATAATCTTAAAATTTCCTTTAAATGGAAATTTTAAAATTATTTTCCAACCTAAATAAACAAGGATTTTATACTGACTCCTCTTGCTTTTATCTCTGAGCTTTTCCTTCTTTTTCTCTTACAGATGGCAGTTCAATGTGCCGCTTCCTTGTTAAGGACCCTCTGCGTGTGGCACAGAGCTCAAAAGCAGAACGCTGGAATTTGGTTACAAAGAACACGACAGTTTGAGTTGCATATGTCTTTTGAGGTGTCCTTAGTTTTCCCATTTCATCCTACAGACCAAGGGTATACACTCCAAATACCTTAATGTAATACTTCTTACGATTAAACTAGGTACCTTAGAGGATATACTAAAAAAAAAAAAAAAAAAAAAAAAAAAAAAAAAAAAAAAAAAAA